AAAAAAAAAGGCCAAGTACATTTATCATTTTAGTGAAAGTATATTCTTGCAGCAGCCACACATAGCAGCATAGTGAGAATATGTCACACATTTTTTTATATATATATATATATATATATATATAAAATATAGTCAAAAAAAAGCATGTGGTAGCATATGGGAGAGAAAGAAAAGGGCAACTGCAGGAATAAGCCCCACATGTTTGGGGTTTTTCACACAGGAAGATAATAATCATCCTGAGTTACATTTAAAAATTAAACTCTTATAATAATTGAGTTTCACAAATCGTACCTATGCTACCTATGTCTGAACCTAACCTAACCAGTCCTAAACAAAAGGATCATATGGAGGAAAAAAGATCCCAACATATTCTTTTGTTTTGTGTTTTGCTTTTTGTGTGAGGTGTCTACTTTTCACTTTGAGTTGTGGCATATTTCTCACTGAAACCCCCCCCCCCCCAAAAAGCCCGAGTGGGCTGAAGCTAACCACCATTAAACCGTATTAGATGGTCAGTGCCACCCACCTGTAGATAATCACTGGCTCCTGGGGTGGTAATCAGTGTACAGGATATCAGTGTTTTACAGCCAGGCCCTTCTCTGTCGGCTGGTGCTGTTTCATTACCACCTGCATTGTGGTGTGAACAGAAAAAATGGCATCCCTGTGACTCAGACTGATTGCTCGTGGTAACAGTCTGAATTGCTGCAGATACATGAGAGTCATCTCGTCAAACCCTTGCTTTTTTCCCCCTTCTGTCCAACACAGATGCATTCTCAAAATCTAAAAAAACCAAATAGTTATTGCTTGTTATTGCTAAAGCAGGAAGTTAAAGAAAAAATAGGGGAAAAAAGGAAAAGAAATATGGCTCCTGATAAGATACGGACACCAACTTCAGCAACTCAAAGACTTTGGACTGAGCAACAGTCCAGTTCTTTTTCTCCTCAGCCTGGGTAAGACCCTTCTGACATCTCTGGTTCAGGTGTGGCTTGATATTAGGAATGCATCAGTTGTAGCTCCTTTCAAGAGCTCTGTGTGTCTAGCTCTTCATGCACTGACACAATCCTCAGCCCACTCCTTGTAAAGCTTCCCCAAGTTCTTGAATCAACCTTGCACGCCAGTCCTCTTAAGGCTGCAGTCATCCCTGTTGATTGTGCACCTTTTTCCTTCTGCGCTTTTCGATTCCGGTCAACTTTCCATTAATATGCTTTGATACAGCATTCTGTGAACAGCCAGCCTTTTTAGCAGTGACCTTCTGCGGTGCTTTGTGGAGAGTGTTAATGACCTTCATCTGAACAACTGCAAAGTCTGCAATCTTTCCTGTGATTGTGGTTGCATGTAGCGAATAAGACACTGTCTGAAAAGCAATATACTCAAAACACTAAATGAAATGTTCTAGTAATTTCAGATACAGGGTTTCTGATTGTCGTGAGTTATAAACCATTAAAAGCTACATTAAAACAAAAAGGCGTGAATTATTTCACTGTGTGAATTTTACTTTTTTGAATTAAATCACAGAAAATTTTGACTTTTTCACAATATTCAATTTTTTAAGATGCACTAGTGTTTATGTCTGTGAACAAAGACACAAAGACTCCATTATGAGAGGCTGAGAAGCTCCATGAAGACCTCTTTGGATTCATCTTATCCACTATGTCAAATAGAACTGAAGTTATATGTGCAAGTGTGAGCTGTGTTACGATGGTGTGAGTGTGAGAGTAAGTGTTTCTTTGTTGTCGCATCAACAACAGTTGTCATCAGTTTAATCATCGTGGTTAAAATCTAAAACAGTCATCTTTGTCATTTTTACCAACATAACAATTACAATCTCCATTTAAAAAAAAATATTATGGAAAAAGCATTCATCCCATCACCGCCAACATCGTGGGTTTGTCATCTTAGCCATCTTTAGCAGCAGCAGCAGCATCGAGCCATGGTTTTATAAATCAGGAGGTACATAACAAAACACTTTAGGCAGTCAGGTCAGTCACTGATAAACAAAATGAGGTATATTACACTCCACTCATTGCCACCGATCCACAACAGGATAAACTTCATTTGCATTTGTAGCAGCACATTCTGTAAAACTCAGACATACAATAAATTATCCCAATTAATTACATTTACATATATCAAAAGACTCAAAAATCCTTTTCACATTGCCTTTCATCTAAATATGTCGACATGTATCCTTTTAGGTTTCATTTTAGTCATCATTTATGAGAAACATTTAATGTGGGCAAGTGAGAACTTCAGGAAATCAGAATTAAAGGATAACAAAAAGGAAGCAGATTTCGAGTAACGTTGATGAACAGAAGTGAATAAGGCAATTATTGATTCCAGTAATATAGTTCTAGATATCTATATGTCTGAAAAACTTAAAACTAACATATTATAGAATTTAAGGCATCAGCTGTCTTGGAGCGTCGTACAATGCATGATATAGTCAAGACGACTGTTTCTCCTTTGTAAAATTATGAATCCTTACACCCTACATAAAATAGCCTTCACTTCTTTTGTTTTCTTTTCTGCTTTTAGAAAATTAATTACATCTGCTTATATTTAGCTCACTGGGCATCATCAGTAATTTTGGCACTGCATTTTCACTCCCTATCTCACTGTCAGATGTACTGTTTCATGCATTTTGTTTCCACATGACAAAAAAAAAATTAAAATGTACTGTAAACAAGTAAATATAACTGGTTTTCTATTGTCTTCTATAAAAGTCTTCTATAAAATCAAATACAGTATCTTTGGATGTTTTTGTTTCGATTTAATGGACCAAACCAATAAAATAATTCTAAATTGCTTAAAACTATTTATTTTTTTTATCTCTTTACCAAGAAAAAAAATGAAATAACTTAGGGTTAGTGGGACAGGTGGGTTAAAGTTAGGGTCCAACTGGTAGCCTGGTGTTGTTAGAGACTTGTTTGTTGCACGTCTCCTTTAAATAAAGTTTATAAGGTCATAATTATTTCTACTTGGTGCCTTCCACCATCATTTGCCAAAGCTTTACAAATATAAGTGGCACTGGATGATTTTCATCTGCCTTCTACTGCTTTCAGGTGATTATTTAAAAGAAAAACCTTTTTATCAGCAAAGACAACAATATGTTATATTTATAAATACAATTGAGTCCTTCTATTAGTTTCTTGCATTAGTATCAATATCTAATATCTGTGTTAGTAGCTTAGCTGCCCACTTATCTATTATCACTACTAGCTCTTACCTGTCGCTGACTTCCTGGCAAAGTAGTTGGAAAACCTGCTGCTGCAGGTTATCTGAGAAAAAAAAGACTAATAGGAATCACAGACTAGGATCATTTAGTTATTAATCCTATCTTAGCTTAGCTAGGATGATCTTACCTTGTTTTGAGCATATTCAGTAATTCAGACTGATTTTAATAATATTATGTGGTAAAGGTGCTCTCAACTATTACCATTGCACATTTAGTCGGCCTTAGCTGTTCAGAGCTGTTTCTTTTTTTACTTCACCCATTCAAACTGATTATTTCTGCATCCAGAGGTGCTTTGCTCTACTATTTTCTCGTGTCCGTGGCTGTCATCTCTATTAAATCAGCTCATCTTTTTGCCAAAAGACATGTCCCGTGCATTTTCCTTCCTGTATGTGTGAAAAAGCATCGAGCAGTCTCTACGGGTCACTTGTGACTGTGAGTACAAACCCAGGCAAATACAGTTGATCATGCTTCACTTGACTTAACAACCTGAGGGCCACATGTCAGTCATGACAGCAAAGGCAGTCGGTTTGAAGGTTTTTTCTTTCTGCTAAAACTCTGCTTGGACAGATCAGTAAGTCCTTAAAATGGGTGCTAAAGCATAAACGATGCCAGTACACATAAAACAAAACATATTTACGTCCAGTGGTGCTAATACAGCCAGATAATGTATTGAAAAATAAAAATACCCGAAGAATTTGCTTAATTCGGACTGGGCTATACCTGAGCCATCCTGTGCAGTGTGCACAGTCTGCTGTATGTTTTCATCTACAATACAATTTGGGAACTTGTTCTTCTACTTTGTCAAGTTTTGGTTAGACTAGTCTTCAGTGCTACATACAGAATTAATGTATAAATTACTGCAAACACTTTGCACAAACTAAAACAGACATACAGCCCACCCTCCCCCCTTTTTTGTAAGATAAAATGAATATTACAGTTATGTCAAAACAAACAGACACACTGCAAAATCTGTATATAATAAACTGTATCTCATATCTGACTGTAAGCTACCCTAAAATAATAAAGCTTTTAGGTGGCCATTCATCCTGGGTAAGCACATCTGTCTCTCCAGGTGGACATGGAATCTGCTGCTCTTTGTTGTCCTCACAGCAAGTTCACTGCACTGATTTGCTGTTCTGGGCACTCGGTATGAAAGCGCAGTGGTATTCCTGTGCAGGGAGTTGACCTTGTCTGTTCTGTTTTCTTTCCTTTTTTTGTGGACCAAATTCAAGCAGACATGGACAGGAACTACCAAAATTTATTCCACTTCTTCATCGACGCTAAACTAGGTTCTTTTTTCCCTGACAGTTGTCGGGTTAACCTTCCCATCGGGGCAATGCCGGTCACTCCACGGTGGGTATGCTGTTCACCTGGCTCTCGTGCTGGCGTCCGGACGCGTTCAAGGAGCTGCGCTTCAGCAGCTTGTTGATGATGTCAGTGCATGTCTTCTTGTACTGGTGTCGGAGGAGGGAGTACACAAATGGGTCGCAAGCTGCCTTGCTGTAAGCTAAGCACTTGGAGACAATTCCCCAGTGAGGGTTGATAGGCACCGCTGGAAATAACTCCACGATCCTGCAGGGAAGCATAAACAGAGGGTGGTGAGAGAGAGCGTGGTAGAAAGGCAAGTCAACATGCTGGAAAAGACATGCATGCCTTAAGCTTATTGAGCAGAAACTGAAATACATTTGCAACACAGTGTTCTATTTTTCCCCCATAGTAAGCAGGGAGTTACTTGCAAAAATGTTCTGCTTCTTTATAAATACAGGAATCCCATTAAACACATATTTGTATAAAGTCATTTTTCTCATCTACCCACAAGAAAAAAAGTAGGTAGCTGTCAAAGGACAGTACAAGATTTCCCCGCCTTTCTGTCGTGAATGTGGATTTACAGTGTGGGGCTATATTAGATTTCATTTCTAATTTGCAGTCAGCAGTATTTAAAGCCAGAAAAGACAAAAGAAGAGTAAAACAGATAAGCAGTAATGAGTGTCTGTGAACAAAGTTTGATTGTAACTGACAACCACATTAGACTGAAGACTGAGCAGAAAATGTCAGACAGTGAATTCTTCCAGTCTGGTAAAAAACAAAAAAACACCATCTCATTAGTGTATAATATAATATAAATATTTAATTTAAAGCAGCTCTTAATAAGCTTTACAGTCTTGTGAGGTCTGCATCTCAAAGCAGTTCGTGGCACTCCCAACTTGTTTTTGCTTTTAGACACATTTGTGTGAAGTGTAAGTTATTAAACCATCATAAAGCTGTATAAAACCGCTGATTGTCTACACTTGCACTCTGTATGATTAGGCCATCCAAAATAGAGCTCTGTCAGCGTATTACCACAGGCCTTACATGGGCTACTAGCCATCCCTGTCATTTGTTCACACACATTCCACAGAACGAGTGAATGTTGGTCACAGCGCCACACAAATGCAAAGGTGTTTTCTCACACGAGTTAACACAGAAGAAGCTAGAACTCCACAAAGCAGAGGATCAGGGGAAATCGGAAAATTTAACATGAAATGAATACCCCAAACCGAACCTCTTGGAAACTGGTTGAAGATGCAGCTAGTAGGTTTCATCCCATTATGTAGAAGTAAAGACGTTATGGAAATGGTAGGCAGTGGTCCAAAGCAATTTTAAGCAGAGTCCATTTTTCAAAATCTTTGTTTATCGTACACAGATACACAGTTAGCACAAGAGCTTTCAGCACATATTATCTCATGATGTAACATTACATAGGCTACTGTAATTATATTTACAGTTAAATTGTTAGGAGGGCAAAACTGCTTTTCCAGGAGAAAGGAAATTCTCCAGAACTTATGGCTTAGGTGATATGACAAAGTAATTTGAGGTCATACCTGCTTTTGCAGCTAAGCTTTGTTATCCACTGAAAACACAATAAATTGGGAGCACTTGTTGTCCACATAGAAGAACAGGTTACTGCCAAAGCCTACTGTATTTAACTCAGATCACGTCTACTTCTATTTTTTTCTACTGTGAGTTTTATTTACAGTAAGTTACTGGCATCCAGCTGCCATGTAGTTGCTGTAGATTTTACAGCAACCCCTTTACAGTGCAGCAGGTCTATGCATCAAGATTCTTTGTCAAATCTCTTAATCTAAAGCTGAAATTCTGCACTTCAATCACAACAATCTTGATTGTTTGATTTAAATTCTGTTGTGGTGGTGGGTTCTCATCGTCCAAATGCTTGTGGGTCTGACTGCATTAAAGTAAATGTCTCACATGACAGCAAGCCGATGACTTATGTGTCTCACTCACTACAGGCCTTATTTGGTATCCTGTCTTTGTTTAGTGATTGATGTGAGTGGATTCTACCTGACAAACTGATATGCACCCCGCGAACTCGAAGAGAAAAAGTGCTAATGCAGCAGCAGCAACAGCAGAGCAGAGGCATATTACTTATCACAAGGTCAGCCAATCTCATCTTCCAGCTCTGGCCAGTGTGAGGAGGAAGCGGAGGGGAGAGAGAAAGGAAGCAGGAGGGGAGGGATATGGGTATCTGTGACTGGAGTGCAAGGAGGTATCCAAGGGTTGCATGCTCTGCATGGTGGTCCAGCATGGATTCCCTCTGGTCACCCAGTCTCTCTACTACTCACCTCGTGATCACATAGGGAGCGAAGCAGAGCATGAAGGTGCCGATAAAGGTGCTGATCTTCCTTGTCGCTCTCTGTCGTCGCCTCTTCTGCTCCTCCAGACAACGCTGACGGACACTACAAGCACAAACACATAAAGAGGGATGCCCACAAAGTGGGTTAATATGAGACAACAGGGAGTGGGTGTCATGTAGGGGTAAAGCATGGGGAGATCCAGTATAGGGTGAGTTCAGGTAAATCAACTGGGTCAAATTAAAGGCTCAAAGTGGGGATCTCCCTTTTAAGAATTCCAGTTTAATCATTTTCTCTGTGCCTGTATGGTTTTGTGTGATACCTGAGTGCACCACAGCTGTGATGCCATGGTGACACATTGCTTTGGAGATTTTTTTTTTTTTATGAAATAGAGGTCATCTGTGTGAGTAATAACAGGATTTATAATCTGCAGTAGGCTATTCAACCACACACACACACACACACACACACTCAGAGATTGTATAGTATTTCCATGGGAGCTATTCTGCACAGAGACAGAATAAAGCAATCACCCCAGATGACATTTCAGTTATATTAGATTTTGAGCGAGGACTCAATTCATATGTAAGATTCGCTGTTTTAGATAGGAGAATAAAAGAGGCTAAACCCTTCCTTTTAACTCATTTTTAAATACTTTTCAAGCTTTACAAATATAAAGGTACCAGATTGCTATAGCATATAACGTTATAGTTGCAGGATTGATAACTTAAAGTAGCTCACCTGGGGTGTATATCCACTAGAAGCACCAAAGTTTGCATTGTAATAACGTCGATCCTCTTACAGTGAAACCTTGCTACTTTAAGTACTTTGAGGTATGTGACACATAATACTATGAAAGATAGAAGAAAGGTGAAAGAGTGGAAAAAGATGGTGAAGACGACAAACTGTGTCCGATTGCTCGCTCTGGGGTTGGACAGGGTGCAGGATGCGTAAAGCCGGTGGTATCCAACCCAGGAGAGACAGGCGGCCACCGTGGAGAAGGACATGGAGTGCGCCCACGTGTACGCGAGCACAAAAGCCGCGTCTTTGTGGCGCATTTTGGAGTGGTACCTCAGGGGGAACACCACCGCGATCCACCTGTCGATGCTCAGAGCTGCCATGCTCAGCATCGAGTTCGTGGACAGGAAAGTCTCCAAGAAGCCCACGATCTGGCAGAAGCCATCTCCCCCCGGTTGAGCTTTACTGACAAGTCCTACCAAAGTGAGCGGCATGTTGGAGACGGTGAGCAACAAGTTGCAGAAGGTGAGGTTGAGGTTGAACAGACCGGGGACTTGCTTGCGGATCTCCGGGTTATACAAAAAGCAAATCAGCACCAGGACGTTGGACAGCAGCGACACTATAATAATCACAACCACCAGCACCGAGAGAATTACCTCCGCAGTGTCCATCCTGTGGACACCCGAAACTCACTTCTCTCCAGTTTTTCTGCGCATATCCAGTCTTTATTTTGCAGCTGCAAAATTACACTAATCACCCGTAACCGTGTCCATGCATCCCCGGATCTCTTCACCGGTGGAGATTCCCTTTTCTTTCAACTACATTGTTTCTTCTTCGGCAAAGATATTCAGGAGGATTCCGACATGATAGAAAACCTATGTTTGTTAGTTTTTTAACGGACTAACTTCCTTCTTTCTCCCCACTCTAATCTACAGAAAACAAGGTCTCTTGCCAAAGCTGCTCTCTTCTGGCACTGCGTCTTGCAGTGGGGTTTTGTGTCCTGTGATGCGCTCCCGAGGCATCACCCCTCCGCACACACTGCACAGTGTGTGGGCTACTTGATCTCTCTCCTCTCTCCTCTTCTGGGTAAAAGTAAGAGAAAAAAAGAGCATTAGTTACAGCTAAAATGAGAAATTATTAAGCTCATTTAACGGAAAATGGCAGATATGGTCAAAATAAGCGTGCTTGTTTTGTTTGTTTGTTTTTTTCAAAATTAAAAAAATATTATTATTTTGGACTATTGTAAATGTTAAACTCGCAAAACGGCTTTTTTCCATTTTAAACTCTCCTTCAGGACTTTTGTAAAAAGGGAGTTGGAATTATCTTGACAATAAATACAAGATAGACAGCATAATCAAGGTGAAAGAAGAATATAAATACTACACTAAAGAGCATATAAGGTACACAATTAAGAGGCACGAATCTGACTTTTCACCAAATCACCTAAAATCCTTAAACCTGTCAAACTCATTAATAAAACAGAGATTAACATGAGTTCTCGTGCCTGATTCTGATCTCATTCTTCCAAATCACGATTGCCAGCAGTACTGCTTCTTCATCTTTACTAATTAAGTCTGCATCATCACATTGATAAAGAGCAAAATCCTCTATTTCCCTGAAAGCTGGATAACACCCCCACACTCTGCTGCCCCTCTGGACTTCAGTGTGGGGAGAATTTTTCCTCTGAAGCGTGGGATTCAGCGGAGTGTGTTGTGGCACGTGAGCCACTGAAGGCGCTGGAGCAGTGTGTGTGAGGTGGTGGTTGTGGTTTTCAGAAGGGGAGGGGGACGGGAGGGGGTAGTGTGTGGGTGGAAGGAGTTATTGTTACCGTGCACACACACATACGTGATATTTGAGTGTGAGGATGTAATAAATGCAGTCTACCGTGTCCTCTTTCTTTGGCTAAACGTGAACAGAAACAGGAGGAAAAGAGGAGGATTTGTGTTGAAAGTGAGCCTCATTAAAGTCGTATACTATGAGGTAGTGGAGTATAGGGGTGGTGTTTGTTCTTGATGCAAAGAGAAGGTGGCTGCAGGGGTGGACAACCCTGGCAGCTGCTGTGTATGATTAGGCAGAAATGGAGCTCCATCTTGGACCCCATGAGGCTTTGGCTGTGATGGATGCATTATCAGCATGTTGTACATGTGATGGGACAATCAGCTTTTGCAGGAGCGGACACTTGCATACTGTCAAGCAACTGCTTCTGCGGCTTTTTTCTTGTCACTTAAAGGGACTTATCAGCACAGAGCCACCAGTTGATCTCAGGCACAAGTGCAGCTTTTTGTATGCATCATTTTAATTATTCTTTTCATAATTAAATGTCAGGTCCAGAGACAATAATGTCTCTAAGGAAAGTGCTCTAAAAATATGGCTTAGAATATGGCACATTCAGGGACAGAGGGACATGGATGATTAATATCCACAGACAAGGGGATACTACTTATAGTTCCACCAGGAAAATATTCTTTAAAATGCAGATTTTTTTTATTAGGATTTACTATTTAGAACATTCACATTTCTCCACAGCACTACACCACATTAGACAAATATGCCAAGGAAAACCTTTTAATTTTAATACCACCTTACAGAAGGCTTGTTTTCAGAGAGCACTGTGTCTTTACAGATCCAAATATGGCCTGGTTCAAGGAAACATGAGTTCTGATACCTCCCGGCATCCCGTGAGATTACCCAGAATAAAAACACTGTACACAGCTCCTGTTGTGTCAATTAAATAATGCCTAGTTCCCACAAATCTTATCGACTGTGGTTTATTAAGAATTACACAAACTAACATTATGGAGGTCATTTACTGACTCATCAAACAATGCTAAAGAATGACACATAATTCAATATGTTGTCTCAAGTTTGTGTCTACCCACAGCCAACACTATATTTGTGTAATGCAACAAATACTGTCAGTACTGATCATTCAAAATGGTCCAGTCCCATGTGCAAAAACACCAAATCTACACATCTTTACACAAACACTTGGGTCTTGATTTCTTGGCTTATTTCCTTTGGGATAAATTCTCATTTTTGTTGACTAATAGCCTAACTTGATTAATAATAAAATTTAGGTTTAGGGCTTCAAGATGTACACATTGACTGGTCACTTCATTGGGTACACCTTCTTCAACTCCTTGTTAATGCAAATATTTGATCAGCCAGTCACATGGCAGCAACTTAATGTATTCAGGCATGTAGATACGGTCAAGATGACCTGCTGTCCAAGTTCAAGTCGAGCATTAGAATGAGGAAGAAAGGTGTTTTAAGACTCTTTCAGTGTGGCATGGTTGTTAGTTTTGGTGGAGTATTTGAGAAACTGTTCATCTACTGGGATCTTAATGCAAAACCATCTCACATAAAATGAACACATTGAACCTTGAACCAGATTGGCTAGAGCAACAGATGAATATAGCATGTGCCAATCCTGTCAGCTAAGAACAGGCTACAACTCACACTCACCAAAACTGAACAACAGATGATTTCAAAATCATGACCCGATGAGGTGTTTTGATTTATGCAGTGACATTTTATTCAGGTAAAGGCTGGTTGTGGTGTAATGGTGTGGGAGATATTTTCTTGGCACCTAACTGTTGAATCAAAGCCACAAACAACTGAAGCAGTTCTGAAGGCAAAAGTAGGCTCAAAACAGTTTTAGCACGGTATCCCTAATAAAGTGCTAACTGAGTGTATAAACGCTCTTTGTCAACATACCCCACTCATTCTTCGGGACATTGATAGGGACCATAAGTTCCAAAATAAAATACGTGCTTTACTAAGTAAAACTTGAAATTAGCAATTAAGGCTTCATCAGGAAACTTTTTACTGAAGGCATTGATCAGGCGTCAATAAGAGGCTTCTATCCAGCTGCATCTAGGAGAATTTACCCCCTGCTGAGTATTGCAAAGAGTGCAGCTCTAAGACATTTCCAAACAGACTTCACTTTTAAGACCTGGAAGGTTTCTGATACAGTCTAAGATCATTTGAACAAAAACAACAATCAAGAATAAACACTATCATGATCTCTACAGATAATTAAACAATCAAATTCATCTATGATTTCTTTCTACATACCTAAATGCACTAATTTGCTACTAATTTGAGCAAGTGAGCAGGTGTACCTAACAAATTGGCCAGCCAGTGTATTTCTCCCAGTAAGTGAGTCTTTGCTTGGTGGCACAAGACCTGGACCAAACCCACCAACTATATTATTTATTTCTATTACCGACTGGAACAAGAACAAGTAGGATTCATCTTCAGGTCATTCATCCTTTTTTCTGTTAAATGAATTTCACGAACATTTTGTCAGGAGATGGAGAGAGTGTATATCCATCACTTTACAGAAAGGCACAAAAAGGAACAATTACACTTAATAGACAGTGATAAGGCACCTAGAGTCAGCTGAAATGTCAGGAGGAGGTTTGGGGACACACACTGCATTATATGAATTATTATTATTATTGAGAATATTGATATGTTCTTAATTTTTTTAATATTACAGCTTTTGTAATTACTAATTTATCACAGTGCCCCATAGTGTGTAACTTAGGGGTTTTATTACTTAAAATCTCTGTTTTGTAAGGGAATCCTTCGGGTTTACTGTGGCTGAGACAAAATCTCAAGTCTGCAGATCTTCACTTTGAAGATAATACCTCTTGTCAAAAGATTTAACAAGTGCAGGACTTGACTGTGAGAGACAGTAGGTTGAGAGAGAGCCTGCGGCACTCCTCCTTTATGCTGTGACAGTGTGAATTTGAATTTGCTGCCAGTTCCAATTCCACCCTTGACTTCCCTCTGATTGGCAGGCTGGTATATATTTAAAACCCACAGTTGATATAGGCTGTGCTTTAGCTTCTTGGTTTTCCTGACTCGTGTGAATATAGACACGTCACTTATATTTCCAACCTTCCCAAGAAAAATGATGCAGGACTTCTGAGCCGAGAAGAAGTTGTGCTGCAAATATGACAACTGGAAAACTTGTAAAAGTAAGACTTGAGTTATGTAACTCAGAAGAGTACATGCAAGCTGTAGAACAGCAGCCTTATGGCTCATAAAGGTCTCACAGTGAAGACGGTAGGGATGCTCACTCATACAAGAAGCTTTATATAAACATCGTGAAGTGCCACTTTGCAAGTAAGGAGAAAAGGAAGGTGTTTACACAGCTAGCTATAACGCTGAGAGAGGCCAGTTTCCTGTCACTTCTGATTTAGTCATCACCAATGCAACCACTCTGATATCTAATAAAGCTTGTACATATGTTAAAACACAAAGCAGTTACCTGAAGCAGCAGAGAATTACTGAGTGAAGCTGGTAGAGTTTCTGAAACCTATTACTGGCATTACTACCTTGAAGCAGATATTACTGGTTCTCAAAGTGGAGTCGCAAAACCCCCAGAGATGTGCAACACATAGGCGAGAGCTCCACATAATAATTTGTTGCAAATGACTAAATTCTGGAGTATAAAAAAGTAAAAAGTGCATTTACACAGGTAAAGGACATTTACACCAATAAAAGGTAAATTTGTTTTCATAACTTGGCCCCATTGTACTTCATGATGATGTATGGAGAGTCAGGTGAGTACCAAAGTCAGTGTGAGTCGTTGTCTAGTAACCATAAAGTGAGTACTGATTAGAAATAGAAATATACCAGTACGGCATTGATTATCCAATGTACTGGAAACACTCCTCAGAGACTTTGGTCCATATTGACATAGCATCACACAGTTGCTGCAGATTTGTTGCCCATCCATCCCGAAGGTGCTTTACTGGATTGAAATTGGTGAGTGTGGAAACTATTTAATGAGTCATGTTCAAGAAAATTTCTTGAAATGATCTGAGCTTTAAGACATTCTTTGTGTTATTATCGAGTTTTTCTAAGGAGCC